AGCGGAGATTCCAGCAGGCTGGAAGAGCTGTTCCTGGATGCTTCTTGTCGCTTCTGTCACTTTTGTTGTTTAAATTGAATTTTTCGACGCGGAAAAGATGTTGGTCGACCTCTCGAACAGTCCGGACAAAGAATGAAGGTAAGCAGACACCTTTCTTAATATGTAAAGTCTGCATAATTGGATACTAGCTAAATTTTGAGCTGTCCCGGAGGTCTGTCCAAATCTCTCTAAATCAAATTTTCTTTATATAGTCATTGTCACGTCACACATCGAAAGACATACGTGTCACAAAGAGACAGTCACATCATAGTCATAACATGGAGTCCTTGTAGAGTCCTTGTACAGTCCTGCACGTAGGCCATATTGCTATCTAATACTAACACCAATGTGAGATTTCATAACACTTTGAAGCAACTTTTGTTAAAGTTAAACTCATCATTCTATCAATGTGCAGAAGCCAGTACTTTTCCCTTGTTTTGTCTATCTGAAGGCCAAGCTACATGGCACCGTGGAAGCTGCTGATTGGAGGTCTCCATGCCTCCGCTCTGTATAATACACTTGCATTCTCTTGTATCTGTGATCGTGTGTTTTGTTTGTGCTGTCTCTACCATCGACAATAAAACAAGGTCTTCTGTCGGAATTTAAGACACGATCCCAGACTATGCCATCTTCTTCAGGTGGTGGAAGGATGCGGGCCTTGTCTGTAACATCTAGAGAACAGAAGACTTTTTTTTTTTTTAACACAAAAAGTGTTTTTTTTTCAAGCCAAAACTGAAAAACCTCAAGAGAATGCATCTGGACCAGCACACTTGAACTATCTGCACAGCCCCTGATTCCAGTCAGGCTGTGAGCTGCTGAGACATGGACAATACCAGCGTCCTCTTTTGCATGGACATCATTTGGAACAATTTGGACATAATTTGGACTGAATTGGATTTCTGAATCTGGACACTAAAGCAGAAACGTGTGATTGAAAGACACGTCACAGAAGAATTCATGGCTCGACACAAATGCAGCCTGAAGAAATCAACACGGAGAAGTGGGAGAGACTGTTTTCAAAGCAATATCTGAGAACCATCGACTGATGAAGTTTGGTATTTTACTGAAGATTGTTGACAAGTTTTATGAAAGATCTGAACATGTTTTATGAGTTTTTGAAGTATTCCGAGTTATGAGTTTTTTGAAGTACCGAGTGAAGTACCGAGTTTATGAGTTTTTGAAGTATTGAGTTATGATGTTATGTTGCTGTTTATCGATCCTGATGGTCACACGTGAATGTATGACCAGAGGGGGGAATGTGAGATTTCATAACACTTTGAAGCAACTTTTGTTAAAGTTAAACTCATCATTCTATCAATGTGCAGAAGCCAGTACTTTTCCCTTGTTTTGTCTATCTGAAGGCCAAGCTACAAGCTAACCGTGGAAGCTGCTGATTGGAGGTCTCCATGCCTCCGCTCTGTATAATACACTTGCATTCTCTTGTATCTGTGATCGTGTGTTTTGTTTGTGCTGTCTCTACCATCGACAATAAAACATGTCTTCTGTCGGAATTTAAGACACGATCTCAGACTATGTCATCTTCTTCATAACTGTTATCTGAATGTTAGCTAGCATAACTGTTAGCATGTGGTTTAAAATTCTGTAAAATCTTTGGACGTGTCTCTTCTTTACCATCAACCATAAAACATCTTCTCTGACCAAGCCCCGGTGATCATGGATGATAGATAGATAGATAGATGGATAGATAGATGGATAGATAGATGGATAGATGGATAGATGGATAGATGGATGGATGGATGGATGGATGGATGGATGGATGGATGGATGGATGGATGGATGGATGGATGGATAGATAGATAGATAGATAGATAGATAGATAGATAGATGGATAGATGGATAGATGGATGGATGGATGGATGGATATAGATAGATGCTAGATGGATAGATAGATTGAAAGTTAGGTACCCCCGCTTTAACACCTATCTAGAGACTGATTCCTGATTTCTCTGGACCCATTAGAGAGGGCACATCCAAACTCAGGCCCGTGGGCCAAATGCGGCCCTCTGTGTCATATTGTCTGGCCTCTACCTCTCGAACACATGATATCGTAGACCCCAGTGTCATACAGCCAACTTCAGCTCTAACAACATACAGTGCCTTGCGAAAGTATTCGGCCCCCTTGAACCTTTCAACATTTCGCCACATTTCAGGCTTCAAACATAAAGATATAAAATTTTAATTTTTTGTCATGAATCAACAACAAGTGGGACACTTGTTGTTGGATTATTGGATAATTTAAACTTTTTTAACAAATAAAAAACTGAAAAGTGGGGCGTGCAATATTATTCGGCCCCTTTACTTTCAGTGCAGCAAACTCAGTCCAGAAGTTCAGTGAGGATCTTTGAATGATCCAATGTTGTCCTAAATGACTGATGACGATAAATAGAATGCACCTGTGTGTAATCAAGTCTCCGTATAAATGCACCTGCTCTTTGATAGTCTCAGGGTTCTGTTTAAAGCGCAGAGAGAACCATGAAGACAAAGGAACACACCAGGCAGGTCCGAGATACTGTTGTGGAGAAGTTTAAAGCCGGATTTGGATACAAAAAGATTTCCCAAGCTTTAAACATCTCAAGGAGCACTGTGCAAGCAATACATAGTTCCCACAGACCAATGAATGTCACATGACCTCCTCGGAGACGCCGTCTTTGATGGCACGCTGCTGTGTTTGTGCATTCCATTAAACAGAAGAATGAGAATAAATGTAGATATTCAAACGCAAATTGGAAAAAAAGGGCAACTTTTGAGCAAATAATTGTATATTAATACAATGGCACCACAGTTTAACGTGCTACGGACATGTTTTACATATTTGATCAAATTATGCAGCAAAAATTAACAAGCAATGCAAACATTTCTCAAAAACTTTACATTTAATACCAGTTGGAGCTCCATTTAATTATTTTAATTATATTAACAATTCATTTAATTAATGCTAATGCCACACGGACACTCTGGATTGCTGTTATTGTTTATTTCCGCGTTTTTGACCGTATGTTTTGGTGAATGGTGGGCAACTGATTTTTCCAGGCGTAAAGAGCAGTTTATTTTATGACACAGATCTTTTTACAGAAGCAATGCTGTTTGTGAACATTGTTTTAGCCCACCATAGAACTATTATTATCTATTTAATACATTTACGTTGCCCTCGAGAGCCTCGGACGCGACACCGATCCTCCTCATAATAAAGTAATCTAAATAATGAAACTCTCAAGTTACCAGATATCAGCATACACAAGTTAGTACTGAGTAAATTACGTCTGTCAACACATTATAAGATACGATACGCACCTGACACAAAGTGCTCCGAGCATATTCTTGCGTGTTTTGAGGGAGTTTCTTGCCTGTTTATCTTCGCAAGCCATAACCTCCGTGGTTGTTCTGACAAAAGCTTAGTCTTCTCACATTCATGAAGTCTAATGATGGGTATACTGTAAAATCCAAGTTTAACGGAACCTCCGGCACGATTTGAACATCCATTGACCCAGCAGGAGATGACCATTTTCAACTTTATCACGACATTAACACGTTTCAGCTTCTTTTTCTATTGTTTTGCCCACAGAATGCCAACACAAATGGCGCCGGGTCGGCAAATCCCCGTATGTAGTGACGTCATGTGGGAACTATGTATTATATTGAAATGGAAGGAGTATCAGACCACTGCAAATCTACCAAGACCCGGCCGTCCCTCCAAACTTTAATCTCAAACCAGGAGAAGACTGATCAGAGATGCAGCCAAGAGGCCCATGATCACTCTGGATGAACTGCAGATAACTACAGCTGAGGTGGGAGAGTCTGTCCATAGGACAACAATCAGTCGTGCACTGCACAAATCTGGCCTTTATGGAAGAGTGGCAAGAAGAAAGCCAAGATATCCATAAAAAGTCTGGTTTAAAGTTTGCCACAAGCCACCTGGGAGACACACCAAACATGTGGAAGAAGGTGCTCTGGTCAGATGAAACCAAAATCAAACTTTTTGGCCACAATGCAAAACGATATGTTTGGCGTAAAAGCAACACAGCTCATCACCCTGAACACACCATCCCCACTGTCAAACATGGTGGTGGCAGCATCATGCTTTGGGCCTGCTTTTCTTCAGCAGGGACAGAGAAGATGGCTAAAATTGATGGGAAGATGGATGGAGCCAAATACAGGACCATTCTGGAAGAAAACCTGTGTGAGTCTGCAAAAGACCTGAGACTGGGACGGAGATTTATCTTCCAACAGGACAATGATCCAAAACATAAAGCCAAATCTACAATGGAATGGTTCACAAATAGACGTATCCAGGTGTTAGAATGGCCAAGTCAAAGTCCAGACCTGAATCCAATCCAGAATCTGTGGAAAGAGCTGAAGACTGCTGTTCACAAACGCTCTCCATCCAACCTCACTGAGCTCCAGCTGTTTTGCAAGGAAGAATGGGCAATAATTCCAGTCTCTCGATGTGCAAAACTGATAGAGACATACCCCAAGTGACTTGCAGCTGTAATTGCAGCAAAAGGTGGCGCTACAAAGTGTTGGAGCCAGTTTCCTGTGTTTTCCTTTGCTGCCTCCTGCCACTGTGTGGCGCCACCTGCCACCTCGATAGTATGCCCTATATAAGTGGGGCACTAATGAAAGAAAGGTGTTGTAGTGTGGAGGCAAACATCTTTCGACCGTTGTTTGTTACCACAGGTTTATATTTGTGTACTTGGCAACAATAAAGGATTGTAGAACACAGTATTTTGCTCTATTTGGATGGTGAGAGACACGCGTCCTAGACGCCAACACACTGCATCCAGCGGACCTTGCACAGGGCAAGTTTTGGCCGCTACATTGTCAAAAGATAGCCTCAGGTACCGTCTGGGCGTGAAGATTGCGTCAGCTGTGATTGGCACAGCGCGGTTTCCTGGAGAGGAGGGGACCCACGACTACCGTGGCGGTGACTCGTTGCCACAGGGATGCGGCGAACCGGCGGACTGTCGGCGGGAAGGAGGAAAGGGCAAAAACACCGGAGAGAGCACCGGCGTCCCCCACCACCAGCGCGGGCGAGAGAAGACTCGGCGCGCAAACTGTCCTGCAGCGGAGTGGCCCGCGGAGGAGCTCGGCACCGCGTTTGGAGAAGGCTACGCGTGGTGAGCAGTTCTGATTTCTGTGTGCGACATAGGGCCGCACAGACTACACGTTTAGGAGCGGTACATGGACTGTGAGGTGGACACTGTAAAAAGGAACACTGTAAAAAATGTGCACCAGGGATTTGAACAAAACTGACAAAAAAGAGAGAACTTCAGCTGCTGCAGCTTTGGTTAAAATGAAAGCTAAGCAAGCTGCGCTTCTAGTTAAAATGTCATTTTTGGAAGAGAAATATGAACTGGAAGCAAAGCAACTAGCCATTAAGAGACAACTGGAAGAGCTGGAATTTGAAACTAAAATGGCTGAAGTGACAGCTAAACTTGCAGTGTTGAATGCCTCAAAGAAGCATCGGCATAAAAATAAATCTCTTCCAATAGAGCCTAGGGTGCAAACACAAGTCCCAACCACAACTGTCCCTGCAGTTATAAAAGAAACTAGGACTGATGATGACTGGGATGGATTTAACTGGGAGCCACCAGTTTACATTCCCACTTTGGTGGATGCGCTTGAGCCAACAGGGGCCGGTAGTGCCACACAAATGGCTGATGTGAACTGTTCATCTTCACCAGTACGTCAGGAGCGTCAGGAGGACTTTGAGATTTCCCTTATGGACCATGAGCAAACGGTGACATTGGATTTGGACACTGAGACATGCTCATGGAAAAAGATGGACAGTACAGAGGATGAAGAGCAGGAAAGTTCTGCTGTTCCTGTCTTATTGACTGCCTTGCAGCCTGTAGAGGGAGGCCTGCTGCAGCAGAAGCTGGCCTGCAGTGGCCCAGACATGGTCACACCAGGCCACACCAGGATTTTTCCACTGCCACAGTGGCGTAGTAAAAGCAAGCATAACAATGCTTTTGTAAGAAACACTCATTTTGATTTTGTTGTACTCGTGAACTGTCTTTGGATTCTGTATGTGCTTTCAGCCAGCAAAATGTTTAAGCTAAAGTTGCGCAAAGCTTTCAAAAGAAAGCGCTGGAAATAGTTTTGAATAATGAAACTAAACAGGATGGATATTAAATGCCAAATGTATTTTCTGTGTATTGAACAATTACTTTGAATATGTGGACATTGAAATTTTGTGTTTTTTGAAAAATGTGTTCCCCATGTGACAAACTTGCTAAGTTAAAGTATGGCTCCATGTTTATTTGAATTTTGTAATTGTTTAGCTCCTGGCTTTCACAATTAAGGGGCCGGTGTGTTGGAGCCAGTTTCCTATGTTTTCCTTTGCTGCCTCCTGCCACTGTGTGGCGCCACCTCGATAGTATGCCCTATATAAGTGGGGCACTAATGACAGACAGGTGTTGTAGTGTGGAGGCAAACATCTTTCGACCGTTGTTTGTTACCACAGCACACAAGTACACAGCACACAAGTACACAAATATAAATATTTGTGTACTTGGCAACAATAAAGGATTGTAGAACACAGTATTTTGCTCTATTTGGATGGTGAGAGACACGCGTCCTAGACGCCAACACACTGCATCCAGCGGACCTTGCACAGGGCAAGTTTTGGCCGCTAAACAGCTCGAGCTCAGTGAGGTTGGATGGAGAGCGTTTGTGAACAGCAGTCTTCAGCTCTTTCCACAGATTCTCGATTGGATTCAGGTCTGGACTTTGACTTGGCCATTCTAACACCTGGATACGTCTATTTTGTGAACCATTCCATTGTAGATTTGGCTTTAATGTTTTGGATCATTGTCCTGTTGGAAGATAAATCTCCGTCCCAGTCTCAGGTCTTTTGCAGACTCCAACAGGTTTTCTTCCAGAATGGTCCTGTATTTGGCTCCATCCATCTTCCCATCAATTTTAGCCATCTTCCCTGTCCCTGCTGAAGAAAAGCAGGCCCAAAGCATGATGCTGCCACCACCATGTTTGACAGTGGGGATGGTGTGTTCAGGTGATGAGCTGTGTTGCTTTTACGCCAAACATATCGTTTTGCATTGTGGCCAAAAAGTTTGATTTTGGTTTCATCTGACCAGAGCACCTTCTTCCACATGTTTGGTGTGTCTCCCAGGTGGCTTGTGGCAAACTTTAAACGAGACTTTTTATGGATATCTTTGAGAAATGGCTTTCTTCTTGCCACGCTTCCATAAAGGCCAGATTTGTGCAGTGCACGACTGATTGTTGTCCTATGGACAGACTCTTCCACCTCAGCTGTAGTTATCTGCAGTTCATCCAGAGTGATCATGGGCCTCTTGTCTGCATCTCTGATCAGTCTTCTCCTCGTTTGAGATGAAAGTTTGGGGGGACGGCTGGGTCTTGGTAGATTTGCAGTGGTCTGATGCTCCTTCCATTTCAATATAATTGCTTGCACAGTGCTCCTTGAGATGTTTAAAGCTTGGGAATATTTTTGTATCCAAATCCGACTTTGAACTTCTCCACAACAGTATCTCGGACCTGCCTGGTGTGTTCCTTTGTCTTCATGGTTCTCTCTGCGCTTTAAACAGAACCCTGAGACTATCAAAGAGCAGTGCATTTATACGGAGACTTGATTACACACAGGTGCATTCTATTTATCATCATCAGTCATTTAGGACAACATTGGATCATTCAAAGATCCTCACTGAACTTCTGGAGTGAGTTTGCTGCACTGAAAGTAAAGGGGCAAAATAATATTGCACGCCCCACTTTTCAGTTTTTTATTTTGTTAAAAAAAGTTTACATTCTCCAATAAATTTCGTTCCACTTCACGATTGTGTCCCACTTGTTGTTGATTCTTATATCTTATCTTATATCTTTATGTTTGAAGCCTGAAATGTGGCAAAATGTTGAAAGGTTCAAGGGGGCCAAATACTTTCGCAAGGCATTGTAAAAGACTCTTTGTGCTGGGACAAAAACATGTATTTATGATTTACAACTATTAGGTATTGAATAATATTAATGCTATATCCAGGAAAAAATACATTATGTTTAATTCATTTTCAATATATATTTCAATAATTTGAAATATATTTATATACAGACTAAGGTTTTGGTACATAAGTAAGCCTAGTGGAGTACAATGAAATGGGGCCTCCATCTGGAAGTATGACATTAATTTCTAGAATTTCAAAACCTACCATATTTAAACTTTAACTTGGTTTTAAATGTGTTTTTAAAAGTCAGCGATCCAGAAATGTCTCTTATCAGAGTTTTAAAGTGTAAGCATGTCCTAATATGGTCTCAGAACCTTAAGCCTAGTGTAATACTCGCGCGGCGCGGAGCTTACGGAGGTGACGTGACGTCACTTGCGCAACGCGTTTGCTCACCGCAAAGGCCCTTACATTGCCTGCCCTGCAGCATCAACATTTTTCTAACTACGTAAGGGTCGCCGCAAGGAATCTCCGCTGTGATTGGTCCGTGTGTGTGTATTGGAAGGAAGCATTAAGCGGCTGCAGCAGGGACATGGACGAGGCACTATGGAGCAGAGAGCTTTGGTGCTTCGAAGGAAAAGCAGTTTGGGCTCAGAGCCTGATATACAGGAGACTGTGGACTATCTAACATATATATACGTGTAATGAGCTCAAACAGCTTGTTTGCTATTGTTGTTCTGAAGAGGACAAAGTAGCAGCGTAAATGGGACCAGCTCCTGTGTGATCGCCCTCATGTGGTTTGTTGTGGATTACAACATTCTCCTCAAAACTCCGTAAGGGGAACGCGCCAGTATAACGTCAATTGTGCTTACGTAGGTCCACCGCAACCGCTAAAGTAAGCCACGCCGCGCAAGTATACACTAGGCTTTAGTGTCTCTACAGCTTTAATCCAACGTGTTTATCTGAAGACTATAAAGGTTGAAATATCTAAATTCGGTAGTGTGGGTCATTTTAGGTGGAATAGAAATGTCTGATTACTGCATTTTGCCACCACTGGACCTGACCAAAATCATTGCACAATATTTGAAATGAAAAGAAAGAGCCTTTGTATATGGCAGCATTTCTTGTTCTCTAAGAAAAAAAAGGCTGAACTTATATTTAACCAAGGGAAAAAAAAACATTTAATAAAGCTGCATGGAGTTGAGTCGACCCGAGGAGACAGTTCTTGTTCTGAGGCGGTGTCGAGGAGATGTTTTTGACCTGTACAGACTGTTTACCGTCTGTGAGAGACAGGAAGTTAAAACTGTGCTTGTGACCTCGGAGCTAGCTAAACGTGCTAAAACAACAGCGTGAGAGATGGCATTTGTTTTGTTTTTTCATCTTTTCATTGTGTTTTTGTAGCTCCCTGACTCTATTATTTCCTCTTTCACTCTAAACAAACACAACTTGTTCCTCAAAGATAAAATATGGGGAAGAACATAATCAGCTGGTTTCACAGACACAGATATGAAAACAGAGGCGGGGAGAACATTGGGCTGAGGCTGGCCCCGCCCCGGGCCCCGCCCCTAGCCCCGCCCCTGGCCCCGCCCCCTGCAGAAGGCCTTTATGGACTCGCCGGCTCTGACAAAGGACTTATTTCCATGACAAAAGCCCGCAGTGGTTCTCACAGGAGGAGGAGGAACAAATGTGTGAGATGTTTTAGTGCAGCTGCTGTCGGCGAGACCAGGGACTCCCCACGCACTTCCATCTGCTGCCACCAGGGGGCGTGGTGCAGGTCAAAACAGTCCTCCTCAGAGTCCCAGCAGGAGGCCAGTCCCTGTGCTCCTCAGAGTCCCAGCAGGAGGCCAGTCCCTGTGCTCCTCAGAGTCAGTCCCTGTGATAAGGTCTGAGTGAACAATATAAAAACATAATGTTTTATTTCACCACTTTTCACCCTCATGTTCCCAGAATCACTGCTCCTCCTCCCTCTTCCCCTCCTCCTCCTCCTCCTCCTCCTCCTCCCCCTCCCCCTCCTCCTCCTACCCTCCTCCTCCCCCTCCCCTCCTCCTCCTCCTCCTCCCTCCTCCTCCTCCTCCTCCCCCTCCCCTCCTCCTCCTCCTGCCTCTCCTCCTCCCCCTCCTCCTCCTCCTCCCCCCCTCCTCCTCCTCCTCCTCCTCCTCCTCCCCTCCTCCTCCGCAATCTTCCGCAATCTCTGTGGAAACACCCAG